CATCAGGCTTCTGTATGATGGCAGATGAGATTCTGCCAAAACGTTGCTACAACTTTAAAAGCACAACTACAATGACGTGGGAAAATACCCGAACAAAGCTGATATATATATATATATATATATATATATACACATACATACATATATAAAACGTTATATGTTATATACATTATAATGCGATATTTTATATACATACATACTTGAAGCAACTGTCAGTTGTCCATTTCGGGATCCTCTGGCCTGGATTCCCAACTGAAGTATGTACTGGGTGAGAAGTATCTCCCCTCCCCCCCTTTAAATGAACTATATTCAGTTTCAGATCTCTTGAATTACTTTTGGGGAAAAAATAAAGGGGAAGAAAGGACTGGAAAGGCACATTTCAAAATCCAGCAAATGAGTTGTTTAAAAATAAGCTTTTCTTTTTCTTTAAAAACTTAAACATATTCAACATTCTGCGTTTACATTTTCCAAGAGCCTGTATAAACTTTCTTATTTATTCAGTGCTGTTGCCCAAACTTTTACTGAAACCGCCTTGGCAATTAGGGGCTCATAATGAACATAATTTAGTAGGGCCGGTTGGGTTTACCAAACACGGCCTTCGATATTTATAAAAAGGCAGTTAATAAAGGCAAGGAATTTATTGCCTTCCTCCTGATAATCTAATAAGCCAAAAGAGCGGAGAACGCTGGATTCTTATTTACAGCCTCTCGAGGGGAATTTGCAAACAGAGGCACCAGGTAATCAAAAAGCAGTCAGGCACTGCCTCCTGTCTTTGCAGGGTGCTAAGATGCGGGGGTTACTGTGTTTATACCGATTAAGGGCGGTGGGTCTGCGCCGGAGTTAAGCCTGGGCTTAAATGCCTTCTATTGGCGCCTTCGTTTGGGCTGGATCGAGAGTGAGAAAAACGCGTGGCATTTTCTTGTATTTCATTCACCCCTCCGACTCCTACTTCTGACAATCATGGCGAAGCTTTCTTTTTAAATAACTTTTTTCTCTCTCTATCTCTCCCCCCACCCCCTTCATTTTTCTGCAGCAGCCCGTGGGTTATTCTCATGCTTTAGGTCAAGGCGAAAAAAGGCTTAAGGGCAGGACTGGGTGGCCTCAGCAGGTCTGGGCACTGGAACTGAATCAATGATCCTCCGGAATTCCTGTTTGCGACGAAGAAGAATCTTAACAACTGAGGCGACGAACGAACCCAACCCGACGGGATGGCCCGGCGGGGCTCTTCGCAGCTCGCCCTTTCCCTCTTTCCTGCCGCGCAGCTCTTCCCTTCATTTGCTTTGGAAACGTCGGAGGGCCTGTGCAATGTCGGCGCCGCGGTGGAGGATGCTATGACCCTACAAAAGGAGGAGGCGAGGCCGAAAACTAGCCTGCAACCCCTTGGCTGAACTTGGATCCGAACCTATTCATACACGCGTGTCTCACTGAATGTGCAACTCTCTACTTTCTGGGAACCCCGTCGGAAAGCCAAGCCTTTGTGTCTCTCACTCCCTATTTTAAATGTGCGTCGTCCTCCGCGTAACTCTTTCGGGAATTGCGGAAGGTCTAAAGCGCAAGAGATGACCCTCCTCTTTTAAAAGCAAACCAAACCCCACAGCCCTAAAAGGGCGGATAGAGACGGGGGGGTGACTTTCCAACGGCCTGCTTGGATTTCCCGGGCGCCGCTGATTCCCGCGCTTGGAGAAAGAGAAGGAAAGCCGTCTAGGCCCCTCTCCTCGGAAGGAAGGGTGAAGTGGGGAGGGGGCAACGCGGGACCGCCGTTCCTCGGTCAGCCACAGGGCTCTTCGTCTGTCCCTGGATTTCCCCAATCAGCGATCCAAACAGCTCCCCCCCCCCAATTTCGTCACCGCGGCAACCTCCTATCCTCCCACCATCCCCAGCTACCACGGGCCGTGCCGCCCGCGCACGATGCGGGTCGGTCCTTTTCGCTTCGGCGGGCCCAGGTAGGCGAAGACTCTGGGTACCCGCCTCCGCTCCCTGCCTTCCTCAGCCCACCCTGCGTCGCCTCTGTGCAGAGCAAAAAGCGCCGCCCGGAGCAGGTTCCCGCCTCGGTTCTGAAGCTGATCCAGCTAAAACCGGTACCTCCGTCGATCTGAGATTGGATCTGGGAGCTGTCGCGGGAACGGCAATGCCTTCCAAGAAGTCACCGCGGCCGGTCGCTCGGAGCTTTTCGCTTTTCTGAAGGAAGCGGGAAATGTGACCGGTCGGCCACCGTTAAGCACTTTCTAACCACCCATTGATTTCAGCGGGAGAGTTAAGCACATTACCATAACCCTCCCGTTGAAATCCATGGGACATCACCACGCTTCCCTTTGGCTGGACGGTGCTTAGTGCTTTACAAATATGTAAATAAACAATACATCGAAGTCCTCCTCTCTCCCTCCCCGTTTTCGCCCCCCCATCCCAACCTTCCACTCCCATCCCCTTTGTTTTTATGTTGGATGTATTTAAACTACCTACGTGGGTGAATTTGATACATTGTCTGTACCGGGTTTTCTACCTCAGCTCTGTATGACCACTATCCTAAGAAACAGGTTTGCCAAGTCAAGTATTTATGAGGATTTTAAAATATTATTATTAATAATAATAATAATAAAGAAAAGCTTTATGGAAAAAGAACAACATACCACCTGGCCTTTCTCCCTTCTCTCATGACATGTTGGAGTGCAGAGAGTCAAGCCTCATTTTTTAGGACTGGCCATAGTTCTTGGGGTGTTTATTTGGGAACCCGGAAATTCCAATTATGCAAGAAACCTTGGTTAGATTCAAGCAGCAGGGAAGGAAGCTGTAAAGATGCCAAAGCCAAACCAACATGAAGAATTGGCTTTTCATGCCTTGTGCAGGTTGTTACCTCAGCACCTTGTCTTCCTCCTCAGTGACCGATGCACCTATTTTTATGCTACCATAAACTATCCAGCAACGTGAGGCTGAGGTATTTCAAGGAAATAAATGTTAATTATATTTAAACAAATATATACAGCACAGAACACGGATTTATTTGAAAGAAGTGTAATATGTTAAAAAAAAAATGCTTCATATTTATTAATCTTACTGAATGCCAGCTTGGTGTCAAGCACATACGACAGTCCTATGGAGGAAAATGTTTACAGTTGTTTGATAGTTTGCAGACCTAGCAGTATTTTTTGAAAGCCCTAGGCAGCACCCTTTCCCTCCCGCTGCCCCCACCCCCAGACATCACACAGACCCTGATTCACAACTTCCTTAAATCTTAGTGCATAAAGAAGCCTTTGAGTTGCTCTCTTGTAGTTTTAACACAACCAGCACTAAGTGAAGCGCCACGTTTAGTCTAAGCTATTTGACTTAGATTGAAACACATGCTTAAATATATCTCCATGAAACAGGGGAATTTGAAGTGATTTCAGTAGAAGAGATGTTTAGCATTCCAAAGGAATCAATAGGTTAATATAGGTTTGTCATGTTAAGACTACCCTTAAATAACAATGGGCAACTAGAATCCCATTAACTTGCCTGGCCTATTAATAATGACTGGTGCTACCAGACTCCTGATTTATTGCTGTCATATTGCTCTTCCTGCAATTAATCCAATCCAGTGTTTTTAGGAAAGACAAACAAAATTAATTCATGTAATACCAATAATTTTATATAACTGGTTCCACAGCCTCGGCTGTTTTCCTCACCACTACCGCATCCCATGGCACAAATGGTGGAAACTAGAGGACACATTGTTGATTATAATATAAAACTTTATAGGAAAGTTTTGCCAGGACCAAAGTTCTGCAACTTGAACATCTTTTTATTCCTGCAGAATCATGGTGATCTGATGCAGGAATAATTTCTTAAAGAGTTTTTATGTGCCTCATGCTAAATAATCCTTTTCTAGCTCAGATGTATTGGGCTACTATTCCCCTCATCCCCAGTCAGCATCTGCTTTTCTGTATCCTGTTCAGCCTCCTCAGGAAATCCATTGCAGCTGCTTGGTTGATTGGCAGGTCTTGTTCTGTGATCAAGAGCTAATATTACAGGCATTTGGAACTGCACCATCATATTTGCCACAAACTTTCAGGGACCAGACCTCCCAACAGCAGTTGCCTCTAACTTTAGATACAGACATTTGATGCCACTCAAATGCCACTCATGTGCATAACTGTTATGTGTAATCTGTTCTCTATCATGGCTTTTTCCATCTAGGAACCTTCCAGCTCCAGAGAATTAAAATAATAGCAACAGCTCTTAGTCTTATATAACACCCCATAGTGTTTCACAGCACTCTCTGGGATGATTTACAATATCAGCATATTGTCCCCAACAATCTGGGTACTCATTTTATGTCCTTGGAAGACTGAGTCAACCTTGAACTCCAGACTGTGGGCTGAGTTTGTCTCACTATGGCATTCTAACCATTGTGCCACCATGGCTCAGGAAAGTCTTCCAATTGATTTTCAAAGAAATGTTAAGAGAGTGTAGGTGGCTACCTTTTTTGTGTTTCACATCAGACTCTGTCTAATCCCACCTACCCAAATGATGCATCTTTTCGGGATTAGAAGAAGATGAAATAGCCAGGTCCAGTGTGAAACCTCTCCTTTGGAGTTACTATTGCATTGGGATGGCTGAGAATCCAAGATCCAGACCAGCTCTCTATGTAATAGTTTTCTTAGGGAGAAGGGGGCTTATGAAAAGTGAGCTTGTAGTGAGGAAATTGCCATTGAAGTAAGGCTAAGGAGGACTTCCACTGGATTCCTAGCTTTCAGAAACTTATTGGGCTCAGTACACAGTACTTTTCCATAAAGGGGGCATAATTTTCTCCTCCCTACGTAGAAAGTCTATCACTTCCCTGGATAGCCATAGAGCCACTTTAAACATGCATTACATGGTCCAACCCAAACTTTGTAAAAGATAACCTTGAAGCAAACATTAGATGACTAGGTCTGATCATAACAGTCCTCTTCTATGTCTCATAGCTTCGAAGGAAAACAGAGAATTGGGATTTGTGTATCAAGTGTCTGTCCTGTGTACATATAAAAAGTACAAATGTATGGATCTGGGTCATTCACAATTCAATAGATGGAGACATACAGTAGTTCCACAGAACTTCAGGGGCGCAACAAAAAGAAGAACAAGAAAACCCAGCTTACTGGTTTGGCCAAGAAAAAACAGTATATTTAACTGGTTTCTATGACACAGTAAGTAAGTTCCAAGACGTCTTTGCTATTTATTTTCCTCTTCAAAGATTAGTTTTGTAGTAAGAACAGTCTTTTACAATCTGAACACGATGACAATATTGACTGGGAAATTCTGGGTAGTTTATGTTTATCTTTCTAGAGGATAATCAGACGGGAGAACTAAAAAGGCAGATATTTTCAATCATCCATTGCAAGGAGGCAGGAAGCATGCACAGGTAGACTGGTAGACACAGGTAGACCTGCACACACTATTAAGGTGCCTAACTGTGATTATTATGTTCTTTTGGTGTACAGGTAGCCCTGGACAAACAGTTTGTTCAGTGACTGAAGTTACAATGGCATTGAAAAAAGTAACTTATAGTCATTTTTCATACCTATGACCATTACAGCCTCCTCATGGTCATGTGATCAAAATTCAGATGCTTGGCAATTGACTCATATTTATGATGGTTGCGGTGTTCCAGAATCATCTGATCACTTTTTGTGACCTTCTGACTAGCAAAGGCAATGGGGAAGCCAGATTCAGTTACCGTAACAACCATGGTACTACTAACTTAACTACTGCGGTGATTCACTTTACAAATGTGGAAGAGAGGTTGTAAAATGGGGCAAAACTCAACAAATTTCTCATTTAACAACAGAAACTTTGAGTTCAATTCTGGTTGTAAGTCGAGGGCTACCTGTACTGATTTTTTTTCCCTAGTTTATCATTTGGAATCATATCTGGAGACCTGGATATTGTTTAATCTACTGTACTCATTTTCCAGTTATGAAAATACAGACCTTGCTCAGAAGTGAAAATATATAAAAGTGGTGTACAAATGCATAAGTAAGCATACTTCAGAAGTTTTCTGTTAGTGCATTCATTGCATTGATGTGAAGTTGCTGCTAACTTTATGATAAGGATTGCTGGGAAGGCATCTTCCTTAAAATGTAAATCCTTAAGAGAATTCATAAAGATATTAAGATACAGGAGATCAGTACCAATATTAAGCACCGG